AAACAAGGTCATCACACATAGGAACTCACCAGATCTAGTACCCATCTCAATGGAACATCACCTTCCATTCCAATCTATTGCTATGGATTTCATCATGGATCTTCCTTGGAGTGATGGCTTTGACAGCTGTTTGGTGGTAACCAATCATGACTGTACCAAGGCTTCAGTATTCATACCCTGCAACAAAACAGTCACAGCATCTGAAACTGCCACCCTGTATCAGAACCATGTCTTCCAACATTTTGGACTACCTGTCAAAGCTATCTCTGACAGAGGACCCCAATTTGCATCACAAATGTTCAGGGAACTATGCACCAAATTAGGCATCAAACACATCTCTAGCGTGTTCTACCCTCAAACTGATGGACAGTCAGAATGTGTCAACCAAGATCTGGAGTTATATCTTCGGATCTTTTGCAATCACCAAGCAACAGACTGGACACACCATCTGCTGCTAGCGGAATTTGCGCATAACAATAGATATCATGATACGATCAAGACGTCCCCTTTCCAGGTGCTCATGGGTTACCAACCTTGGCACAATATTCCCACTGTGGGAACAACTGATACTCCTGATATTGCTTCAAGACTTAGTCAGCTAGCACACCTTTACACAGAAATCCAATCCAGTATTTGACTAGCAGAAGAGACAGTCAAGAAACGCAATGAGAAGTTTGTTGGATATATGCCTGGACAAAAGGTATGGCTGCAAGCCACCAACGTCAAAGGACTCCACCCAAAGGCAAAACTTGGGCCGAAGCACTATGGTCCCTTCACCATTGATCAGAAGCTGTCATCAATCGTCTACCACTTGAAATTACCACCTAAATGGAAGATACACCCAGTGTTTCATGCGGGACTACTCTATCCTTATTCAGAAACAACAATGCACGGAAAGAATTATCTCTGACCACCCCCGGAACTAATCAAGAACCAGGAGGAGTTTGAAATTGAATGTATCATTGATTCAAAGACTGTTGGCAAGCGAACACTGTACTGGGTAAGATGGAAAGGATACCTGGCCTCGGATGATTCCTGGTTGCTGAAAACCAAACTTTCACATGCCAAAGATGCTTTGGAAGACTTCCTACAACCAAACAAGGGTGACTCCTTATAAGAACTACTCTCCCTTGTCTTCCCCAATGGCATCCACTACTGTCCTCGCCACTCTCCTCATTGCCACCTGGTTTTGACTTGTCGTCCTCCTCCTCATCATCGTCCTCACTGTCTTCTACTTCAAGGAGACATACAAAGTCAAAGTCATCCTCACTTGACAACCAACAACCCCCACCATTGACCAAACACCCAAGTGGCCCACAGGAGTACAAGTAACATCCCCTGTTGAGCTAACACCCACGCCCTTCACTGACCTCCTTAGTGGTGAACCAAGTTGCCCCCCTCACCACCATCACCCTCGCTGTCATCAACGAGCACTCCCATCTTCTCCTCCTTGCCCTACTGGGCTTCTTCCTCCTCAGCCTCCTCTCCACCCTCACCCTTGCCCTCATTGTCCCCCTCCTCCTATGTCTCACCATCCACCATCTTGAGCGCGAACACCAGTGGGCGTTCAACATCACCACCACGGCACAGTGCCCCCTCCCCCATACCACCACCAATCTCCCTGTCGTCGCTGCCAACCGCGACAGCAACAATCCGACGCAGGTGTACTTTGAGTACATCAGGGAGCATCAGGATTAGTGTCTGGGGTGTTACTTTGTCTGTAGTACTTGGTGTCTTTTGTATTCTGTTCCTTGTCTTTTCAAAACACCTTCTTCTCTGGTCTCTAAATATGCCTGCTGAGCGCAATAACTGCACAAGAAACAACAATGTGACTTCTAATCTGGACCCACACCATCGTCCTTTGGCTCCTAGGCATGACAATTCTCCAACAACTGGTCTCCAAAGAGCGCCAACCCCTTACCCTTCCCACATCCAGACGCTAGAGGAGCGTTTCACAACTGGAATAATAGAAATGCCAGTTCCTATATGACCCATCTTAAGCTTCCCTTCCCAGCAAGAATCTGATGATTCTTCGCTAGAATTTCTTAACAAAGGGGGCTTCCGCTATCCGTTCACACCCCTGCCAAATGTCACTCATCAACTATTCCTGATCCCAGGTCTCCCGGAATCTTCCAACAGTGACACTATAGTCTTACATCAATTCCCTGGACCCCTGGAGATTCTCCCCAATACCTTGGAAGCATCTACCGGATCTTACCATGTTGCCCCTGCACAGGTTTTTCCATCCTTGTCACCTATGAATACCTCATCCTCTCCAAACCCTGATAGTCCCCTTGCTGCATCCACTGACTCTCCCAATATGCCACCACTCACCTCTGATGCCTCTGACAATGGGAGTCTTGACCACGCTCCGAATCTTCACCTCCTAGCCAATATCAGCAAGTATATTATGGCATCCAAAGGACACAGCAGCAATCCTCAGGAATTTGTGGTCTACAGCAACAACGTAATTCAATGACCCTCAAATGACATTACCAGATCCTGGCAATCCATTCCTTTTGACACCTCTACCCCTGTTCAAGACGTTGATCCCTTGGAACAAGTTCTACCCCACTTTCCTGGAGTGTACGCTAACTTTGTCACTCGACCGCCCATGGGGGTTTCTATCAATGGCATTCCCGCATTTGGATTACAACGGGTCTCAACAACCACAGCAAATATACTCCGTACTGCTGAGCCTGTAGGGAATTGGAACTCTTTGGACAAGGAATGGGAGAAGGATACTTGGGAGTACCTGCAGACGTGAGATGATAACTTGTTGGAGAGCCTTTGGGCATTGTTGCAAGACATCAAGGATCCAGGAGTGACTGATGAAGTTGATCGTTTTCGGGCCATTGATGCAAAAATTGACTTACTCCTGGCTGCGTGATGATCTATAGGAGCAGAACTCATTTGCATAGAGGAAGAAATGAGCCAATGTTGAACATGCCTTAAAGCTGCCAACTTGGAAGAACGACTTGAACACCACAAGTTTTCCATTATCACTCCTCCTTCTGGCGCTATGCCCCGCCGTCTTCACTTCTGTACCAAATGTGAGGTCAATGGTCATCTTTGAAGTGAGTGTTGGCATTGGTTATGCTCCTATTGCAGACCTCTACACCCTTGTCATAAATTCCGCACTGCCGCTGATATACAACCTGGACAACTCCCTTGTCCTACCAAGGAGCCCAGATACCTGCAGGAGCATCACGCTCAATGGAAACTCTGAACAATGAATCTGGAGAGGGGGGTAATGTTACAGCTCGGAGGGGGGTTCTTTTTTCTTTTCCTAACTATTTGTCATTGACCCTGTAACTGTACAACTGATCTCATCATTGATGTGTTCCACATACATCAAGTGTTTAATATCTATCATGTTTCACCTATATCATGTTTCACCCACATCACGTTTTATCTCAATCATGTTTTGTCCTCATCACTGATACAACCCAGTGAAACAT